TAGATAAGTAAAAATTATTTTAGTACAGAGTAGATGAGAACTATAAAAGATAATTTCTTTAATTATCTTCGTGTTCTTAAATCAGGTCTTATTTTGGAGTCCCGACATCCCAGATTATTTAGTTAATCATTTTATAATGACATATTGCATTTTTGGATCCAGTACATTAGGCTCTGTGCCACATGTATGACATGCTCTATTACATTTAATCCTCACTATAGTACTGTGTAAGAACTATTATTATCTCCGTGTTTTAAAGTGTGTCAATAGCCAGGGTAATTAGACTACATAGCTGTATTACAGGGCTGGGACCTGAGCCCAGTCTGTCCGACTGCAAAGACCATGCCCTGTGCTGGAGCAGGCCTCTGGCGTCCTATAGAAGATCTGTAGGCTCGTACTGTCTTCAAACAATGGCCCCTGGGAAGAGGACCACATAACGCTTTTTGGAATGAGATAAAACAAAGCTGTTTCAAGTATAATTGTTTAGTTTCATTACCCAGTCTTTTGCCTAAAGTATTCACAGTTTGTTCCATGAGAAAAATACCACAAGTGACAAAGATTTCCAGATGAAAAGCTATACATTCTTTAGCGCTGAATGAATCTAAAGGATCATATGCTTTGTTCACTAATGTCCCTAGCCTTTAGCTGTAATCCTTAAAATTCTCTGTATGTGGGGCGCCTGGGTGGCTCAGTCAATTAAATGTCTACCTTTGGCTTAGGTCATGATCCCAGGGTCCTGGGATGGAGGCCCACATGGGGCTCTCTGCTCAAGTGTGGAGCCTGCTTCTCTGTCTGCTTGTGCTCTCTCTCTCTCTCTCTCTCTCTGTTAAAAAATAAATAAATAAATAAATAAAATCTAAAAACAAAAACAAAAAAACCTAACAATTCAATGGTAAAGAATCCTGATTTATATATAAATTATCAGAATAGGGGCGCCTGGGTGGCTCAGTGGATTGAGCCGCTGCCTTCGGCTCAAGTCATGATCTCGGTGTTCTGGGATCGAGCCCCGCATCGGGCTCTTTGCTCAGCAGGGAGCCTGCTTCTCTCTCTCTCTGCCTGACTCTCTGACTACTTGTGATCTCTCTCTCTGTCAAATAAAAAAATAAATAAATAAAAAAAATAAAATAAAAAGGAGAGTTTTTTAAAAAAAAAAAATTATCAGAATAATAAAAAAATTTTTTTTAGGGCGCCTGGGTGGCTCAGTGGGTTAAAGCCTCTGCCTTCGGCTCGGGTCATGGTCCCAGGGTCCTGGGATCGAGCCCCACATTGGGCTCTCTGCTCAGCCTCTCTCTCTGCCTGCCTCTGCCTACTTGTGATCTCTATCTGTCAAATAAATAAATAAAATCTTTAAAAAAAATTAAAAAAAATTTTTTTTAATATTTTCTGTATGTTCATTTCAGGAGATTTTTTTTAAAGATGCCAGCTCTCATTTTTTTCTTATATGTTTCATAGACTTTCCTTTGAAGTGCCTCACAGCTCCTCCCACCTCATTAACGTCTTCCTTACACCTGGTCTTTACAGTTAGTCTTTAAAAGAGAAAGTCTTTGGTTTTAAAATATTTGAAAACTTATTTTTTTTTTTTTACTTCATTTCCTCTTATGGCAAATTTTGTAATTGGCATCATCTTCTGGTTCATTTGGGGAAAATGACTCTTGGAAGAAACTGACCTGAACTACGCTTGAATTTAGTATGAAAATAGAAAAAAAAAAACCTGAATTCTTGTCATCTTCCTCCAAATTTAGTCAGATTTTTAAAAATAGCTGTATGTATTGATATCTTCCATTTACTTTGGAACTGTATTAAAAGGAAATCTGCATAGAGTATTAATTCTTTATCCAGTTTAGCAAAAAAAATTTTGGATAAAATGATGTTTAAGACTGAAATTCAACAAACTTTTTCAACCCATTGCTTTTCTCACAAGCATTCCCCAGATTTCTTGTTAATCTAAATAGCTTCACAAGCATTGGGTATTAAGATGTAAGGATCCTCTCTTTTCTTCTAACACTTTGTTTTCTGGGACTTAATCTCACCTTGACATTCTCAAATCATTACCAATTTTTTCTAATACCTGACTGGTCTCCCTTCCTTAGGTATACATACTTTCCCCCATTTAATGTGTCTGGCTGGACTGACACTGCTATTTGCTTGTCATGCCTGTCCCAGCTTCCATACTGAGCATGTGGAAAGGCTCAGAAGTTGTAGAGAAGCCAGTAAAATTTCCTCTGCTCTAGTAACCTTGACACCATGCAGCAGTTTAGGGTTAGAAAGCACTTGGCCAGGGGCGCCTGGGTGGCTCAGTGGGTTAAAGACTCTGCCTTCAGCTCAGGTCATGATCTCAGGGTCCTGGGATCGAGCCCTGCATCAGGCTCTCTGCTTAGCGGGGAGCCTGCTTCCTTCTCTCTCTGTCTCTGCCTGCCTCTCTGCCTACTTGTCTGTCAAATAAATAAATAAAATCTTTAAAAAAAAAAAAAAAAAAAAGCACTTGGCCAGGAGATGAAGCATTCCCAGAGTTCCTTTGTATTGCATCCTGGACCACTCTTTCTACCATACCCAAAATACTAGCTGGTTTAGACACAGATTTTTATGGCATAGTAAGAAACTATGACAATCCAACATGGATTTTGATATAGTCTTAATTAGAATGAGGAGTAGTTTTAAAAATTCTCATGTAGCAAGCGGTGTTGGTAAGGGGAAAAAAAGCAAACCACAGAACAATGGTCATGGCATTGTCCTAGTTAAGTTTAAAAAAAGTTTTGTGAGTATATAATAATAGGTATGAAAACAGACACATGAAGCTTTTAGCAGGGGTTACCTCTGGGAAAGGGAATGGCCTATGAAGAAAGCCTTTCTTCTCAGAAGCTTTCACTTTTCTATAGACTGTATACAGCATTTGGGTCTTAAAAATGAGTGCGCATCCCATTTTTTGTTTTAAAAAGTTAACAGATAAAGTTTTAATATAATACTTGGGCATTTCAAGGAAGTGTACTAGTGGCATATCAGCTGGGCAGACCTGTGAGAAAACCTTGGATTCTTTACCCACTGTCCTCTGAATTGTTTGAACAGTACCCTCTGAAAATTGTGTGAGAAGGACGTTAGGTTTTGGTCTTTCTCCGAAAGAAGCATAATGTATAAGATCAACTGAAATTTATACCAGGGACCCTCTTAAAAGCATTGTTTGTGATTTCTGTCTTCTGTCCTTTAAGCACTGAAATCTCTTGGTTATCTGCCATCTGGGGGAATTGTCTCCCATGGTCCCTGCAGTAATGGGACTGCTTTCTGGTTTAGAATGTGGACACATACTCCAGTAAACATACTCCAGTTACATCCTTTTAAGTATAATCTCCAAATTTTAAAGACAGCCTGACTGTTTTGAGGGGAAAGAACACCAATGGTATTATTTGGTTAGGCTGTTGCTGTCTTGGTAATCTGGAGGGAGATAATGTCTGTTGCCTCTCTTCTCACTTCCCATCCCCCTCCTGCCCTTCCTTTTCTTGTCCCTCCCCCTCTCTATACAGATTAGATTATTATATGTATGTGTAAAGACGTTCTATCTCCATATGTCTCCTTTGCTTCAGTTTTCCTCCATGAGCAGTAATTAAACTGCACAAATATTTAGAAGAATTTGCTGCAAATCTGTCCCCATAATGGAAGTAACTTCTCTGGCCTCCAATTCCATTGAATTACACATTTTATTTATATCTGCCCTTGAGTGGGTACTCAATATATGCAGATTTAATTATAAATAACCAAATGTAGAGAGTCTGGTCTCCAATAGTCTAGTCTCTATTCCTCGTGTGTCCATTTGTGCCCCTATGGGCCCTGTCTCCAGGTGTTGGTGTGATTTTTTTACTTTCTGTTACCAAGCCAACCCTGTCCATTTTCTTCTTCCAGATCCTCCTTTCTAAACCTAACCAGATTTTCTCAGTTTAATGAAGAGCAGCTTCTGTCATTAGGTTTTCTGTTGATGAACATACTGTATGGGATGAGAATGGCCATCCATTAATTCCTGGAAGGCAGGGCCTGTGCCTTATCCTTCTTTGTTCTCCCAGTGCCTCCATGGTGGGGGCACAAGGTGCTTAGTCAGTATTTTTAAACAAAGAGAATTGGTGCATCCTTCTTTGTAACTTTGTATCAGACATGTCCTACAACAGACTGATCATTGTGAAAGTGTAACCTTGTGATACATATTTGCCTCTCCCCAGTCTTGCTAATATAATAGAAAAACTTTGTAACTGCTTGTGTAATTTCTGTAAATTCTCAAGAGTCCCTCCAAATGAGAAATCTGTGCAGTTTGGTGATTGCATTCAAGAGAAACACTCTGCCTTTTATTCTTCTGGATATTGAGTGGGTGCTATATCATTTGTATCATAACTTTTTAAGCAACGAACATCTGTAATTTGATAGTCTGTTTGAAACATCCTAACTTTTCTCCTACATTTAAGTTTAAAAAGGAGTTCATTTTTCAGAATCCACAGAAGGAGCCCTTGAAACACATTCTTCTAATGTATTTCTGTATGGGTAGAACCAAACACACTTTTTGTTTGTTTGTTTGTTTGTTTTTTAAGATTTTATTTATTCATTTGAGAGAGAGAGAGATCACAAGTAGGCATGCAGAGAGAGGGGAAGAACCAGGCTCCCTGCTGAGCAGAGAGCCTGATGCGGGGATGCGGGGCTCAATCCGAGGACCCTGAGATCATGACCTAAGCTGAAGGCAGAGGCTTAACTCACTGAGCCACCCAGGTGCCCCTCACACATATGGTTTAAAGAAAAAAAAATAACTCCTGTTTACCTGGGAATGGTTTTTGCGATCAACTTTATAATGATAAAAATGAATTTTTAATTGTTGATTTTCTTATGCAAAGGTACCTCTTTGTGTTGGAAACCTATAAATATAACCAAAGATGGTTTGTCATGGTAATCCTAATGCCTACAAAATCAAACTAAGAAAGTTTTGAGTAATCAAATGACCTTGGATTCATTTTTCCTTCTCTTTCTTTTAGAACTGCCACTGGATGACCCGGATTCCCTGTAACTGATAATGCTGAGGATCAGTTCTGCAACTTTCTTCCACATTCAGTTGTTAGAAACAAATAGAATGCAAGTTCCTCGACTCCAGATTATGAAAACAGTACTTGGAAAACTGAAAACTATCTAAATGATTGTCTTTGGTTGGGCTGTGTTCTTAGTGAGCAGAAGCCTTGGCCAGGGTCTGCTGTTGACTCTTGAGGAGCACATAGCCCACTTCCTGGGGACTAGAGGTGCCACTGCCACCATGGGTAATTCCTGTATCTGCCGAGATGACAGTGGAGCAGAAGACAGTGTAGACACCCAGCAGCAGCAGGCCGAGAACAGTGCAGTACCCACTGCTGACACGAGGAGCCAACCCCGGGATCCTGTTCGGCCACCAAGGAGGGGCCGAGGACCCCATGAGCCAAGGAGAAAGAAACAAAATGTAGACGGGCTAGTGCTGGACACACTAGCAGTCATACGGACTCTTGTAGATAAGTAAGTATCTGACTTCCTAGTCACCCCTCTGCAATGAAAAATGTTCTACAGGAACCAAAACTTCGGGGTTCTTCCTTTCATTAGAGTATATTCACCAAGCCGTGAGCTTACAAGGCAAGGGAGAATATTTTATTTCTCCTCCAGTGGCAGAGTAAATTATAAGGCTTGATGTTTTTACTTGCTACATCTACTACTATCTGGAAATGTCTAAACATTTCAATAGCAGAGAACACTAATTAAAGCTACGGTCTTCATCAGGGCACGTAGGAAACACGGAGTGAGTTTGATTTGCAAGCTGTAGTAGGAACTAGTTTCACGGAGACAAACTCTTACCTTGCTTGCCTGTCTACACCACTGACCACAGAGTCAAGATGAGTTATTTTGGCTGATCTTGGCAATGGAAGGACGGGGTCAAGGAGAGTATCCTCCTCCCTTTTTGTATCCCTCATTTGGCCATCTTAGATCCATTTGGGAGGCTTATAAATTGAAACTGCAGGACGCACCTGTACCTTTTTTATTTCTCCCCTGCTTTGTCTAACTCTACTTGTGAAATCCCAGATTGAATAACAGTGAAATGGGAGAACATGGTTCAAGTTGAAAAAATATTTTGACTTAACCATAGTTCAGTAGTTAGGAGCAAAAGTTTTAGAACCACAGTGGACCAAGTTTCAGATTTTGGCTGAGCTCTTGAACTAGCTACATGACACTGGGAGAGTTACTTCTCTGAGCCTCAGATTCCTCATCTATAAGACACAAGAAAATCTTCCTTACAGAGATTATCATGAGATAATATATATAAAGAATCTAGCATAGTGCCTTGCACATTCTAGTTGCTTAATAGATGGTCATTTGTGGGGGTTTTTTAAGTTAGATGTGGGTTCTTTTTGCTTCAGCCTCTCCTATTTAAGTATCTAACTATTTGATCATCACATTTATAAAAATCCAGTTTTAATTCCTCAAAATTAGAGCATTAAGCAAGGTATACGTGTGCATATTTTTCTGAGGTGCTTTTTTTCCCTCATAGAAATAAGTTTGTTTTGCGTATTTTTCTATCTGCTGTAGAACATGCTGGGGAGAGCTGGCTCTCACAAATATTCTCCATAACCAGTTCAGAAAGGCCTCCCTAAGTTTATTAAACCAGGCTTTGAAGTAGTTCTGGTATCCCAACTAATTTAATGTTCATATTTTTGTAGAAAATATTTATTGAATATAAATCTATGCCATTTTCACCCCTCAACCCCAGGCAAGGGGCTAGAAGCTGTTATTTAAAGTTTCTTCATGATGACATTTAAAACATACTATAAATTATAATGAGAAGTTGCCCTTCCCAAATAAGGAAGTAAACCATGAGCAGTGTTCTTTAAGCTCATTGAAAAAACAGGTACAGAATAGACTTTGCCATATTTTTTAAAAGAGTGATTAAGAGTGTGTGGGAGCAAGGTAGGAGCTCTTTCTCCAAGATCTTAGAAAATATTATAGATTATAAGTGAACTTGATGAAGTACATGAAGCGAGCAGCATACATAATTTGAGGAATAGGGTCACTTTTATCTTAAACCTGCGTGTACCGAATTATCACTATGACTCTTCTGACAATGGACAAATAGGGCAGATGAGCAGCAAGTGTGACAGGACCTGTTACAGAATCTAATGGCAAAACAGGCTTCAGACGGTTACAAACCTAGTCACCGTAGCTTCCTTTTCAGAAGCTACTGAAGGAGAAGAATTTCATAACCTATAAAGTTGATAAGGCTGTTAAAGCTAACTGTGAACGATAGGATAGATGGACTTAGTACAAGTTTACATAAAACGATGTATGCAGATGTTGCAGTTAGAGAGCGATGGGCCTCATTGTTCTCCGCTTTCTGCTTGTTACTTAGGAAAGGGTGACGTTGCTCTGAGAGGAGAGCAGTTTCTAAAGTTGTAGTGAGAGAGTTGCTGTAGGAAACACACTTTAAATACATTTATTTTAAAATCATTTTGAAGTTCTGTTATTTGCACTTTTTTGGTAGAGACTTCATATTGAGGTCATATGACCTCAGATTGTCATATGGTTTGGAATTATAATCTACGGAGCCCTGATGGAATTTTTTCCTCACTGAGTGTGTGTGTGTGTGTGCGCGTGTGTGTGCACACGTGCGTGCTGTCTCCCTCTCCGTCACACTGTCTTTCTGCCTATCTCTCTTCCTGTCACTTTTGTTGTCATCCCCATCCACCTTCAGGCTATGACTGAACCTAAAATTGGTGGTTCCGAGTTCCCACGTCACTGTGAGAAGCCCACGCCCTGCTGCATGGCTTTCTTTGTCTTTTCTGTCACTGGAGACTCGGAGCTTGTTATCAGTTGTAGCTCATATGATCATTCATAACTTATGCAACTTTGTTCACTGAGTGGGGAACCCTGTCCAAGCTGCACAGGTGGGGTTTTGGTTCCCATCGCCTACCACGCAGGCTTGTGGCTCCTGGTCACCTCTGTCTAGTTTCAGACAGTGAGCCACAGTGTCCTACGGCTTTAGCTCCTGCCTCCCACCAGGAATTTCTGCTCTAGTTCTGTTCCAAGAAGAACTTATCTTTTTTTTTTTTTTTAAATGTAAGGATGTGGGTGTCCTTTAAGTGCATCTGTGTAGAATTGAGGTCCTCGTAGTCTTTATTGGTCACTGACTCTGTCATATTTTTATTATTTTTTCCTTTTCCCCTAACCATATTGTCTCCTTTGCCCCCCACTATCCAAATATCAGTGGGAAACCATTCTCGTGAATTTAAGGTATGTTCTTCCAATTTGCCTGCCGTATATTTATGTCTGTACAGGAAGTTTATATTAGTGTCTTGTGTGTGATTTTAAAAACTTACCTAAGTGGGGTACCTGAGTGGCTCAGTTGGTTTAGTGTCTGCCTTTGGCTCAGGTCATGATCCCAGGGTCCTGGGATTGAGCCCCGCACGATCCCTGCTCAGCAGAGAGCCTGCTTCTCCCTCTCCCTCTGCCACTCCCCCTGCTTGTGCTCGCTCTCTCTCTCTCTCTCTGTCAAATAAATAAGTTAAAGAACAAAAAAAAAAAAAAACCCATAAGTGATACAGTTGTATAAATCTTGTTTTTAACTTCTCTTAACATTATGTTTGAGACCTGCGTTATTGTGTGTAAAGCTACAGCTGCTTCTGACTCCTGCAGAGTATTCCTTTGTATGCTTGAAAGTACTATTTTGTTATCCTGTAATCTGGTGATGGTCACTTCGACTAATTCCAAATTTTTGTTCCTACAAATGTGGCACTGCAGCAAATAACCTGATATGCATCTATTACCTGTGTAATAGTTTGTCTAGTATTGTTGGGTACATTTAATTTCATTATTGCCAGATTGCTCTCCAGAAATACTTGTAATCAGTCAGTTATACCATTTAAGACAAATCTTTTAAATGCGAATTTTCCCTTAGTTATGGAAAGGTACAGGATATGTCACATAAGCAGTACCTAATGAACACCTGAAATGAACTTAATAATTCCCATATCACAAGATTTTTCTGAGGATTAAATGATTGAAGACAATAGTTTTTGCAGTTTTCTTCATAGTAAAACAGAGAGCCACGATATGTAAGTAAATGTGAATGTATTCCCTAAGTAATTAGATTTACCATTATTTGATGGAAAGTATTTTGTTCATTATTTAAGCTCCCCTAAAGCACCTCCTTAAGATTCCTGGGATCACAGATTGAAACCCCACTGAATTAAGGTATATAATACCATTTTAGAGCAATGTCTAGAATTTTTTTTAAAGACTTAATTACGGGAAACCTGGGTGGCTCAGTCAGTTAAGCATGTCTGCCTTCAGCTCAGGTCATGATCCCAGGGTCCTGGGATCAAGTCCTGCATCTGGCTCCTGCTCAGCCAGGAGCCTGCTTCTCCCTCTGCCTGCTATTCCCCGCTTGTGCGCTTTGCACATGCACCCTATCTCTGTCTGACAAATAAATCTTTCTTTAAAAAAATAAGGAATTTTTTACTTGAGAGAGATAATGGGCACAAGCCCAAGCGGGGCAAGGTACAGAGGGAGAGGGAGAAGCAGACTCCCTGCTCAGCCAAGAGCCCCAACATGGGGCTGGATCCCAGGACCATGAGATCATGACCTGAGCCGATGGCAGATGCTTAACCAACTAAGCCACCCAGGTGCCCCCAGTGTCTAGAATATTAAATAGCTCCTCGCTTACGTTTGGTTTCTTTTTCTTCTAACACCCATTTTTTGAAGTTCAAACAAATAGTGATATTTCCCAGAAGAACACTTAAACATGAAGATGTTTATGTAGGTCCTTGCTTCCATAAATCCTCTGTTGAGATTATAATCTCCCTTCCTGGTGTTTCTTTGAGGTAAGTTGGAGGGAGATGATGTTGACCTCCCTGGCTCATCTTATTGGCACTAAGCCTCTAAAGGAAAGCTGAAAGTAGTTACCTGGCCTCCAGTTTTAGTCCTGTGCTTTTACTTCAGGCCAGTGTTGGTCCTTTCCTAAGCCCTCCCACGCATTTGAATTGTGGGCCATCACAGAGGGTGGTTAGAAATGAGCTCATGTTGTGTGTATTGTATAAAGAGTGGGGCTGAAGCAGTCTCTTCCGTCCCTCTCCATATCCATTTCTTTCTGTCTCCACTCCCACACTTTCAGTTGGAATTTTTTTTTTTTTTTTTTTTTTTTTAAGATTTTATTTATTTATTTGACAGAGAGATCACAAGCAGGCAGAGAGGCAGGCAGAGAGAGAGGAGGAAGCAGGCTCCCCGAGAGAGCAGAGAGCCCGATGCGGGGCTCGATCCCAGGACTCTGAGATCACGACCTGAGCCGAAGGCAGCGGCTTAACCCACTGAGCCACCCAGGCGCCCCTCAGTTGGAATTTTTATTTGGAATTGTTATTTCTTAGTTCTTCACTTTTGATGTCTTGACTATTTGTTTTTCAGTGATCAGGAACCTCCCTATTCAATGATTACATTGCATGAAATGGCAGAAACAGGTATTCTTTTCTTAAAGTTTTCTTAAAATACTTTCTAATGAGTTAATGACTATGAAAAAATGTGGCCACTTTTTTTTTTTTTTTTTAAATAAGACTCCAAAAGTACTTAACACACATGATCATGAAAAAAAAGCCATTAGTGTATGGAAATTTTCCTGTACAGGGGTAATAACTAATAACCACTGTATACTGCATCCTGAATATATAACTATACTTCTCAGTATTGGTTTTATTTCACCAAAATTATTAAAAGAAAAATTTGGGGGGGGGGATCTGATAGATCTTTGACCATAGCCCTTCCAGAATGGGGAGGACATTTTTTGTCCCTCAATTTCCTAAGTGTCATTCTGAAATTAGAGCCAACTGCTTCAGATACTTAATCTTCTCAGTAAATGCCTATGTCATAAATAAGGTGCTGAAACTATTTTAGTTATAATTTGAGAACCCAGGACCATATCTTCAGTTTTGTCCAAAGAGGCCTCCAAATCACCAGGCTCCTATAAGTTAAGAATCTTTGGCTCTACCATGATGACTACAATTAATGACAATGTCCATGCCAGTGTTAGCTGCTTAAAAGCCAAAAGTGTTTCTACTTTGTTGTGAAGTCACCTTGTGTTATAAGTTCTGTATTTTCACATTTTTAAAATAGTCGCTCCATTCATAGAATCTTCTTGATTTGCTCTTAGATGAAGGATGGTTGGATGTTGTCCAGTCTTTAATCAGAGTTATTCCATTGGAAGATCCACTGGGACCAGCTGTTATAACATTGTTACTAGATGAGTGTCCATTGCCCACTAAAGTAAGTCAATACTTGGCTTTTATGAAATGGTCACCTATGCTTAAACACAGGATGAACATCCACAAAGACTTTTGACATAATGTGTTTCCTCTTTATACATTTGGAGTCTATTTCATTCAGTATCAACTTTATTATGTAAACTTGCCTTTTATTACTAATGAAGTGCTACATCCTCTTTCTGTCAATAGTTTACTATAAAGCTTTAGTTTAAAATGTTAAAAATGAAAGCATTTATATCTGAAATGGCAATCTGTATTTGAAATTAAAAGAGAACGTTCATAAAAGAGAACGTTGCTGAGCTGATTATTTTCTTACCCCCTGCTGAACAGTTTTCTCATTACAAAAGGTTTTCTTTAATGTTTCCTATTAAGAGAAAAAAACTGTTACACTGAAAGCGCTTGTGAGTCTTAAACATATTAAAGACTGGCATAACCTTGATTTTCCCTTATATAGAACAAAAGTATCAAACTTTCATTATCTTAGTCCATATGTTCTATGGACTACGTTTTTTCAAATTTTGGATGCTGGCATCTTTCATTTGTTTAAGCCTCAGACATTTAGGCACAACATGGAAAACATTACAGACAGAAGAGAAAAGCCTTTGGCCTAGTCACTTTGAATTGACCTTTGCCTAAACTTATAATGGGTTTCTTTTATAATTTGCATCAAAAACTCTGGTGAGATTTGCTCTTGCTTGATTAAAAAAAAAATTGTAAGTCACTTTTTAGTTCAACATTACTAAGGCCCTGTTATCAGTCATTTTGGCATTTGGGTGGATTTAGTCTGTTTAATATTTCAAGAGTATATCGTGTATTTTTTATACAACTGGTACATTTTGAATGAAGGGAAATCTTAACAATTCATGTAAGAAAACTTCCAGGTTGATCAAATAACATTTCCCATCAATAATGACCTCATTGGGTGGATTATATCATTTCTTTATGTTCCTTCTGAGTTAATTTAATAGCTGGCGAGGTAGCTTTCATCTCAAAATTATTCCCTTGGGGGAAAAAAGCCCAAGTAATCTATTTATGAAATCTACTTGTACATTTTTGTTTTTAGGATGCACTCCAGAAATTGACTGAAATTCTCAATTTAAATGGAGAAGTAGCTTGCCAGGACTCAGGTCATCCTGCCAAACACAGGAACACATCTGCGGTCCTAGGCTGCTTGGCTGAGAAACTAGCAGGTAACTGTGGGAACCTCTACCAGGAAAGATCTTCAGTTGTTCGACATAAAGGGGAAGACTACACTGCAGGTCTTTAAGCAAACCTGTTGTACCAGAAAGGAATGTCTTTGTCCCAACCACCACCACCAAAAAATACATAAATAAATAAAAGTTTAGGGATAGAACTTAACTGGGAAGAAATTACTCAAAGGCCAAAGAGATGAGTGCAATATAATTTAGCTTTGAGGATTTTCGGAGGGACACTTAAAAGAACAAGTTTTACTTATATGCTTTAAAATTAGGAATAAAAGGCTAAATTCAGTATAATAAAGATTATGTAGTTATATATTTATGCATATAATAGATAAGATACATGTATATATTTTATAAAGTTCAGCCAGATAGTGGAGAAATACTAAGTTGGGGAAGAGGAATAAGAACATTAAATTGGAGCAGTTCCTGAGAAGAGAAGCAGATACTTAACTTGCTTATGGACATGACCCACTTTAGGCAAGTTAATATCCAAATACAGGTGAATACCTCAGCTAGTTAATCACGTATGGTGAAAGAAACAACGGATTCAGGGTGCTTGGGTGGCTCAGTTGTTAAGCGTCTGCCTTCAATTCAGGTTATGATCCCAGGGTCCTGGGATCAAGCCCCGCATCAGGCTTCCTGCTCAGTGGGAAGCCTGCTTCTCCCTCTCCCACTCCCCCTGCTTATGTCCCCTCTCTCACTCTGTCAAGTAAATAAATAAAATCTTTAAAAAAAGAAAGAAAGAAAGAAATGAATTCAAAATCAGGACACCTGGATATTGGCTCTGGTTCTTCTATGTGTACCACAAGTGCACTGGAACGAGTCACTTCACCGTGGGTTCAGTTGCTCAGCTGTGAAATGGGAACACTGCTATTCCCTGCCTCAGAGCAGGAGGCTTAAATAAGACAATGTGCATGAGAGTAGCTGTCAAAGAGTTCACAAATCAATTTTATTATTATTAATTACTGATGAAAAAGAATATGGCCCATTTCATTATATCTCATGTTTGTTGTGTTGTCTAGGTCCCGCAAGTATAGGCTTACTTAGCCCGGGAATACTGGAATATTTGCTACAGTGTCTGGTAAGTAAGGTATCAAAGCCAGTTTTTCTTAGTCATCTACAACTGTGCATTTTTCTAAAATTGCCAGTTTAGCCACTGGCACAGAGAATGGAATCGGTTATAAATTTTATTTGCAGGTGTTTCCTGAGTGTTTATCTATTCCCTCCTATTTAAAAAAAAAAAAAAGAAAAGAAAAAATGAGGGTGGGATAGGAATTCATTACAAGCAAAAGCAGCTGGTCTGGTTTTAAATTTAGTCATAAGATAGCTACTATGACTGGCTTTTGTGTGTGTCCTTAGAGTCTGCCAAATGGTAGTAGGGACCTCCACAGTGGAAACAAAATTACATGGCATTCCCAGCCAGGAAACTGTCAGGTCAGATTGCCAGTGTCTATAAATCTCTACTCCTTCCCTCCCTCCCTGGCTCCCGCTCTTCTAACTGTTGCCATAGAGTATTTGATCTATTGTCTGTGAAGCTCGTGGTTTGTTGAGGTGGTGCTGCAGATCGCTCACATGGGCCAACTGCAGACTTGACTGGTCTGTATTTGTACAAGTTACTTTTGCAGGCCCAGTGAGCACTGGCCTTCTTCAACATCTGAAAGACCTTATTTCTCAGTACCTGTATGATAGGTACTTAAAATACACACCACCGTGCTAAGCAAGCACTGTGGGGATACAAAAGTAGTATAACAGTCCTCTGCCCTCAAGAATCTTCCTGATTGACTGAGGGAACAAAACTACCCTGCCCAGACAAACCACTTAGCCTCCATTTTATGACAGGATGTGAATAAGGGCAAAATCGTGTCCTTCAGACTAAGTACCATAAGAGTTCTGAGAGGGTGACCGAGAGGGGTGGAAGATAGGGATGGTGAGAGCTGAGAGAGCTGTGAGAAACAGGCTTCCTCATGAACTTGGGCCGTCAGCGGGATCACATCATAGATCAGGATTCGTCCCTGCATCCGGAGGGAAAATTGGGTTTCTTGGCTAAAGGCATCACCAGCAGAAGCCCAGAGATAGGAATGGCCATGCTCCTGGCATATTACAGAGAACCGTTTGATCAGGAGACAGTGTTCAGAGACCGGAGGATGGGCCTGGACAGCTTCGTGGGGAGGGCTTGGGGCCTGCAAAACCAGACAGAGGGATTGAAAAGTGGGTATGGCAAGAAGCAGAGTGCTGAACAGGCTTTACTGCGGGGTGGGCTGGTGGTTATATGAGCTTTGCAGAACCTTTGAGCCCCAGGGAAGTGAGTAGGAATCATCGGATATTCTGAGTTCCTTTGCTCCTAATGGAGCTGTGGGAAAGGATGGCTATGAGAAGGTGTGATGTTAAGCAGGAAGACCTTTCTTTAAATGGGAACCCCTGTGATGGGAAGTTAACTGTAACTGGAAGAGCGCTCTCCCACCCACCATTAGCATTTGTGCAGTTCCTTTCAGAGAACAGATTGAAAACTAAGCCATTAGTTGTTCCTTTCATCATTTATCATTTTGGAGCTTGGGGTAACCCTTTATGGGCTCTGAATAAAAGTCATTCTTAGCTACAATTATAGGTTTCTGTTTGCTTGCTTAAATGAATGTAAGAATGAGCATAGTTTTATTTTGCAAAACCCTAATACAAATGTTACTAAGTAGAATAACATAGTGCTTTTAACAAAATACTTTTGAAATCTGCATACCTATCAATGGACCTAGTGATTTCCAAAACACAATAGGAGATTTTATGAGACTCTATCTTCGTTCCTCATTACTAACAGTATTAGCAAACAGAGAATTGAGGACATAGAAGAGTAAAAGTTTTCTGACTGCTTCCAACAAATCTAGCACATACTGGGTACAAAGAGGAAATTGCTAACTTGCCACCTCTGCAGGGGAATGATGTTTTTGTTTTTTGTTTTTTATCTTTTATTGTCTTTCAGAAGTTACAGTCCCACCCCACAGTCATGCTTTTTGCACTTATCGCACTGGAAAAGTTTGCACAGACAAGTAGGTATAGTGACTTATTGCACTAATGATCTTCTGTATCGGTTGTTAAAAATCTTATTTTTCTTACTTACTGGATGAGCATATGCTTTGAGCCTCATCAGACATGCACCTGTTCTGTTTTTATGTGGATAGATGCCTCACGGCCAGTAAGATGTAACAGGGACAGAAGCCAAGAGTCTTCTCACCCAAAAATCAACACTTGTGACCATGGTTACTCACTTTTTATAGCTAAAAAGTTAGTGATGAGATTGCTACTTCCCAGAAAATAGTTGAGGCTCTTGGACTATGTCATTATTCTAGTTTCCACGTTTTCTGATGGCCTCTCCTCACTCCTTCCTATCCATTACCTGCCCCGCAAATCCTCCTATTCTTTCAGGGTTGATTCAAGTTGTCCTGTCTTCCCCAACAGGTGAAAATAAATTGACTATCTCTGAATCCAGTATTAGTGACCGACTCGTCACCTTGGAGTCCTGGGCTGATGATCCTGATTATCTGAAGCGTCAAGTCGGTTTCTGTGCCCAGTGGAGCTTAGACAATCTCTGTAAGTAGGCGTTGTCCTTTGTTAAAATTCCTGCTTCCATGTCCAAACCCATTCTTTATATAGGATCGCTGTTCTTCATCTTGTAATAGTGAGTGTGACACTTTCCTTGAAAAGGCCGATATTGTCGGTTGGCCGTATTGTAGCAGGAAAGTATTCTAGGGACCCTCCAGACGAAAATTATATGGCATAGTTCTAATTTCAGCACTCTCCTGTTCAGAAACTTTTACTGGTACCCCACTTCCTGGTGCATCCGGGCCGTTAATCAGATGGCAGTGTCCAGTCAGCTCTTCCCTACACAGACTGTCTCCTCACTCTCTTGCAAGCAGGCCCCAGTCATCCTGACCTCTCTAGGCCTTTCCCTCACTTGGAGTTCTCTCTCTTTACTCTTCTCCCTGTCCTGATACGGCTCTTCAAAACTCAAGACACATCTTTCCTACACCAAGAGGGCTGCTCCTGGCTTTTCCTTACCTCCTCAAGGGCTGCTAGAACTAAAACTATCCTGCTACTAAATCCTCACTCCCCCAGCGCAGTTAGCACATGTGCTAAGGCATGGCCGGATGTATGTACCCTTCCTCCTGCCACAACGTTGCGGAGAGTTGCTTTGTGCACAGCCTGTGTGGTGCCCATGACAGAATCATTCCAGAAAAGTAGAAGGTGCATTTTGTTGCATGCACAATAACAAATACAGGGAATAGAAGCAGAAACCTGGCAGTGCCATCCTAGCTTGTCCCAGCTAGGTCGTACAGCAGAAAGGCAAGGTTTGCAGTCTCCCTACCTGTTCTGCCATTTCTGGGCACCTCTACTTCTTAACTGGAATGGCAGCCCACGATGACGCTAGGTTTTTTCCCACAACAGCCTGACTTAGAAACATGACCACTTTTTCTTTTGCAGTTTTAAAAGACAGTAGGCAGCTGACCTATGAGAAAGTGGACTTGAATAGCATTAGGGCCATGCTGAACAGCAACGATGTCAGCGAGTACCTGAAGATCTCGCCTCACGGCTTGGAGGTAAAGCTTTCATGGACGGAACATGCGGGGGAAAGAGCTTGTTCTCATTTTCACACCCTGCTTCTGAACAAAGAGCCATTTCTTGCAGAGTAGATGGAAGTTTATGTCATATTCCAAGAGTGGGTAGAGGTGGAAGTGGCAGGGAGAGGGTGTTTGCGGTGTTGTTTAACTCCTTAATATCCCAGTTGGTGCCATACACATAGTAAGCACTGTTAATATTTGACAATGTGAAATTTTTTGTAGTTTCAAGTTTTTATTTAAATTCTAGTCAACATACAGTACAATATTAATTTCAGGTGTAGAATTTTAGTGATTCATCACTTACACACAACACTGGTGCTCATCACAACCCATTTAATACAGTCTCCCTCCACCCCACCTCCCCTCTGGCAACCCTCAGTGTGTTCCCTATAGACAATTTGATTTAAGTTAGGTCTGTTTTCAATCTCTGCCTCTTTATTCAGCTAAAGGTGCAAAGACTAGTGTTTATAAAAGAGGCCCTTCGTTTTTGAATGCCTGCACCACCAGTTATATCCTGGCCGGCGCTTCCCTCCTCCTCTATGTTGGAGATGTTGCCGATTGGTGGTGCGGGTTGATGAAAGCTGCTTATGTGTAGGACGTACCATCAGGCCCAGACACGTCAAGATTAAAGAGCCGTTCGAAGAGTGGCTGCAGACAGCTCTTTGATCTTACGTTATTGCCAAATGCCTGCCGTCGTTTTCTGCTTTCAGTTATTTTTAGGTACCCCATCTTATACCCTTCAGTGCCCTCCCCTCTCTGCATCCTAACAAGTGCAGGCTAAGGCCATGTTGAGGCATTCATAAAAGATTCTATGGGAAGGGTACTTCAGAAAGTAGCCCTCGTTAATGCTTACTGCAGCCATCTTGGAGGCCTTCCAGCCCTGTTAGGACTCCCTAGATGTAAAGCTACAAAAGAGATATGTGTGCTTCATTCTGTTTTGCACTTTGCGTCACTGAGGATGCACGGAGAAGGAAACGAGCGTCCACCAGAAGCTTTAATAAGGAAAAAGACATTCCACCTCTGGGTGTTCACCTAACTTCCACAGTCTCAGGCACTGATGGTGGGCTGTCGCACGCTTTGGTTCTGCCAGGCTCGCTGCGATGCCTCCTCTTTTGAAAGCGTGCGTTGCACCTTCTGTGTGGATGCGGGGGTGTGGTACTACGAAGTCACCGTGATCACTTCTGGGGTCATGCAGATCGGCTGGGCCACACGAGACAGCAAATTTCTCAATCATGTGAGTACCCTAGAGAACGGCGTAAACGGGGACAACAGCGGCTTTTTGGAGAGTGGGTGGAGGACACAAATTTTCCGGAGAGGTTTGCACGATGATCGCTTCTTGGGCTGGACCAAATGCTGCCAGACCCCTCACAGGGGTTTGCTCACCTGGCGCTGAAATAGGAAGACGCAAGGGAAATTGTCCCTTGGGTTTTTTTCCCCGTCTTGAGTTTTAAATTTGCACCTCGAGGTTGGGTGTTGGGTGTGTCCTTTGTCTTTTTAGGCTCTCCTCCAGCCCAGCCAGATCTCTGGCTCAGTTTTTATACTGGAACCCGTGATGCCTTTTACCTCACATGTAAGCTCTAAGAACTTTGTAGGAAATCTCTTCCTTTCATAAAATACTAAATGTTGGCTTGACTTCTTTTACTTGATTTTTACTTTGTAACTAGTGGGCACATTTGTTTTCAATATTTAGCATTTATCTTCTGTTGTAGAAAGCTGTCACGTAAAGAGGGAAGATGAAACCCGCTAGAGGAAGCAGGATTCGGCTACCACTACTTGCGTGTCCGAGGCTGGGGTTCCTCCCTTTCCTACAGATGTTGATTTCTTGCTAATTTATACCCTTCAGATGCCCAGCCTGAACAGCTTTCTTGAGTTATTCCAATTTTAAGCTGTTTGGAATTAATCCAGTTTTGATCTGGAATCTTTTATGGACATAGGATTTTTACCCTTTGAACTGGGAAAACCCCTTGGATTATTTTGTTCATCTAAACACCAGTCTCCCATATGGATGGGTTTTAGAAGTGAACCAAACTGAGCTTCCCTGCCAGGAGTGTAGTTTGAAAGGGCCCCTTTCAGTGAGGCTGTATAATGTCTTAGAATTGTGCATGGTGTTTTGCTAAACTCCTTGCTGGAGAGACAATTGGAGGAAGAGGGCCAGTAGAGAGGTCAGATTCTTGTCCAGGACAGAAAACTAGACCCCATCTACAACTGCTTTCTTTGGGAACTTTCCCTGATGAAGGGCCTCCTCATTGACTGGACCTTAAGTAAAACCTGGAAGCGTGGGGCTCGATTGTGGCACCATGAAGTCAGAAGTACATGGGTCTGGAGAACAATGCCAGTTAGTCTCTTAGTTCTCACCTTGGGCCCTGATTTAAAGCAGGTGGTATCAGTTTCCCTGACAGCCTACCCCAAAGGATGTCCTGAAGACAGTGTTTTTAGGACTTGGGGAGAAAAAGTCTTTATTTCCAGAGCATTGTCATTTTAGAGCCAATCATCTGATACCCACCACAGTGTTTACGGTCATAATTTCCATTTCCCGAATGAGAAAACTGAGCCTAAAAGAGGGACCTAAAGAATCTCAGATTAGAATTCAGGCTCCTTCCTGTTCTACAGTAGTTGTTTTCTTCACATTTGAAAATGGGAAAAATCTCAGAGAATTAGCAAGCCTCCTCCTTTGGATGTAAAAAATTGCTCCAGAACTAGAAGAAAGATGGATTCCTTTAGGGGGGAGGCTTTGATACAGCATTTGTTTCTCTTCATTTGCTAGCAAACACACCACAGATCTAGGTGTAGTATATCTGATTCTGAATATCAGAAACATTTTATTTTAATAACTGGTGAAGCTGGATCATTTTTTCTGGTGGATTAAACTGATTTCTCCCAATAGTTGCAAAAACTTCGGTTCCTCAAATTAAGAGGCTTAAAATCTGTTTTCCTGTCCTCTGAATTGTTTAGTAGACTTTTAATTTCTTTCTTTAAGTAATGAATAACATTTTTTCCCCTGATCCAAGTACTGGTTGATTCCCTGTTAGAAATCAGTGAAGTCTGAGATCTCTTTTCCCAAATGTAGGATTGTAATCATGTTGCCAAACTTAAAACTTTGCTTCAAATGGACATTGTTCTGGTAATTCTGAATCTTTTTGCTTGTACAGACAGGGTGTGGTTTTATGGAATAAGTCATCCGTAGATACACCCAGTTTCTTGAAGACTTGAAGTCCATCCACACTGCTTCTTGTTTTAACTCTTATTGCTTAGGCTTTGGTTTTGAAAAGATGATCAAAGTGTTGGGCTCAGAGATCAAGCATTAAAATGAGAAGCTTAGGGGTGGCTGGGTGGCTTAGATGGTTAAGTGTTTGCCTTTGGCTCAGGTCATGATCCCAGGGTCCCGAGATGGAGTCCTGCATCGGGCTCCTGCTCAGCAAGGAGTCTGCTTCTCCCTCTGCCTCCTCCCCTGCTTGTGCCCTCTATCTCTCTCCCCCCCACCCCCGCTTGTGCTCTGTCTCTCTCTCTCTCCAGTGAATAAATTTTAAGAATCTTAAGGGAAAAAAAGAATTTAAAATAAGAAGCTTAAGGTAGCCCTTGTTCAGGTCACCTTAAAGAATATTTTGTCTTACTGTGTTGTATATTTTTATGGAGGTTTCGGTAGAGCAAATCTTTAAGGTACATTTTGAGTTATCTAAAATATCTTTTGCCTTTTCATAAGCATCTACCATGTGACAGGTCTTTCACATACTGTCTCTAATCTTCTCAAGAATTTGGGAAGGTATTCTCCCATTTAAAGATGAGGAGAGTAAGGTTCTGACAAATTAATTTACAGACTTGCCCATTGTCACCTAGCCCTCAAGGGGTGGAGAAGAATCTGAACCCTGGTCAAAATAACCCATGCTCCTTCCCCTGTTGTAGCCCCTTGCCTTGGAGAAAATGACTCTGCTATCTTAAACAGAAAAGGGGAATAACTTGGAAGCCTGTTAGGAACTCCCAGAGTCTTGAGGGGTTTGGAAGCAAACGGGCACCAAGTTAACATCCAAGAGTCAAGAGACAAAAAATACAATAGCCAGTGTTTTAGGGGCCAGGATGCCAACACCTCTCCCACAAGTCCCTCACCATCACTCCATGTGGGGTCACTCAGACCACCCTGGGTGTCTGCTGGAAGGGTCCAGTTGGCCAGGCCTACATCCTACCCCTCCACCTCCAGAGCAGGAAGCAGGACACTGTGTCTTCATTACACTCCCTAAAACCAGAGGGGGTTAGAATGCTGGACAGTAGAAAAAAGGATGGTGTTCACCACATGAGAAATGATTCAGAATATTTCCTAAGTAACAAGTTATGGATAAAACTTTCTTTGTTTTGGGCACCTGGGTGGCTCAGTTGGTTTAGGCGACCACCTTCAGCTCAGGTCATGATCCCGAAGTCCTGGGATCAAGGCCTGCATTGGGATCCCAGCTCTGCGGGGAGTCTGCTTCTCCCTCTGACCTTCTCGCCTCTCATGCTCTCTCTCACTCTCTCTTTCTCTCAAATAAATAAATAAAATCTTCAAAAATTTTTAAAAGAAGTTTCTTTGTTTTTAGTAATGTTTTCATTACTAAAATATACATGACCATAAACAAGTAGATCAAAATGATCACTCCAAGTGCTAAGCTAGCTACCCTGTTGTCTCATTTACCTGTCTCAATCAATGAAAACCATAGTTAGTCCTGCTAGGAATGTTTTCAGGGTGACAGAGGGTACATCTAGATTGCTCTCTGAGATGTCATCTCAAAGGGATTTTTAAAGTGCGTCTCTGCTTGGCAGAAGGACCTACATCATAGTCTGTAGAGTTGATCTGTGGTTGAAATTATTAGAGTTCCATGTTTGTCCCACAATGTTGCTGTACTGTGAAATTCATCCCAGGATGGAAGACATTGCGTGGTAAAGTCTGCTCTTAACCAACTCTTGTCGCTAGGAATCTTCTAGGAATTTCTTTCCATTGTTCCATCGAGGATTTTGTAGGACATTAGAAAGTGAAGGTAGAAAAGAATTGCTTGCCTTTGGCTATGCCCAACACCCATAAAATAAAAAATAAATTTTTTACAATAGGTTTTGAAAGGAGGCAATAGCAAGGTGTTGTTTCTAGTAGATTGATGAATTTCTTCTCTGCCTGAAGACAAGTAGATGCAAGTTTACTTAACTCTTGAATAGTCTGAGTAGTGCATTCAGAATAGCTAGTTCAGAAGCCTCACTTTGGAGAACACTCACAGAATTCATTATATTGTAGTCTTAAGTAGTCAAGGAATGTGTTTTAGTCTTTTCTCCAGTTGATCTCCTCACTGGGGCACCTGGCTGGCTCAGTTGATAGAGCATGCAATTCTTAATCTCAGGGTCATAAGTTCAAGCCCCATGTTGGGCACAGACCCTACTTTAAAAAAAAAAAAAAAAAAAAAAGGTGGATTCGATCTCCACTGCATTGTTTATCCCCATAAAACAAGCAGACCATCACCCAAACCTGAGATCTTACTTGGATTTGGCCCATATTTTCAAACCTTTTTTCCACTAAGAATCTTTCACTATTGACCTTTAAAGATAACAGCTATCTGATCTACATGGTTCTTCTGTTTTTTTTCACAAGCACTTAAAATAGGCGCTCCTGGTGGCTTAGTCAGTTAAGCATATGCCTTCGACTCAGGTCATGATCCCAGGGTCCTGGGATCAAGCCCCATGTCAGGCTCCCTACTCAGTGGGGAGGCTGCTTCTCCCTCTCTCTCTGCCTCTCCCCTGGCTTGTGCTCTCTCTCACTGATTCTCCTTCAAATAAATTAATAAAATCTTTAATTAATTAAAGATTTAATAATAATTTATTAATTAAAAATTAATAAAATAATTTCTTAAGATCCCATCCATGTTTTAACTATAAAATAACTGAAATCGTTAAAAGGCAGTAAGTAATAAAAGGAGCTGCCACGGACCTAAATGATGCTCCAGTTGAGCTCACCTCAGGATAGCTATTAGTCCATCATCCACTATAACCTTTCTCTTGTCTCCAGTGTTGAAATTTCTGAGCATGTGGTTGCTATGCAGTCTACTACATGCAAGAGAGACATTTGCCCAGCTGCAATGAAATGGAAAGCACCAGTCTTGGAATCAGAAGATTCCAGCATCCAGACGTGACTTTCTGAGTAATGATTTGCCACTGGGCAACATGGTTGACCTCTCGGACCTTTGAACCCTCTATCTCTTCTTAAAATGTAGTATCATGCCACCAGTCTCAGAGTGGTTAGTGAGGATTCAGTGAACTAACACATGTGAAACCCGGGAGATACTTGTTGGTGAAGTCATTATCTAGTCACAGAGAACCAGGCCTTGAGGTCAGAATTTTGGTATCTTCCGAGAACCATAGACTCCCTTCATCCAGAAAGCTTCAGATTCCAGCCACCAGGTTGATGGTTACAAAAGACACACCATCTTTTCCCAGAAAACAGCAGGCAGAGCTTGCTAATCTGGGCCCTATCTCCCTCCAGGAAGGCTACGGCATTGGGGACGACGAATACTCCTGTGCTTACGATGGCTGCCGGCAGCTGATTTGGTACAATGCCAGAAGTAAGCCTCACCTGCACCCGTGCTGGAAAGAAGGTATTCATTCCTCTCTGTCATGAATTTATCAACCAGGTGAAGACATCTGATTATGATGAGGCATCTGTGATGTTAGGCCTTAAAATATTTTAATGGACAAAGATGTGATGTGTAAAGGGATATGAGTCTTTGTATTCCCTGTCGTGGATGTGAGCATTATTCTTCCTGATAAGTTCACTTCTGGTGGGGCCCTTCCTTTAGCAAAATCATTTCAGGCCTCCCTGCTAGACAGGGAGTCTGCTTCTCCCTCTTCCCCCATCCCCCCCGCCACTGCTTGTGCGCTCTCTCTCTCTCTCACGCACTCTCTCAAATAAATAAAATCTTAAAAAAAAAAAAAAAGATAAATATGAATTCTAGTTTCCTCAAACTCACAACGCCAGGATCAAGTGTAGCACATTCCACGGACTGAGCCAGCCAGGTGCCCCCTGGGAACATGCTTTGAATCAGCATCCAGGGAGATACTGAAGACGCTGACATTGTAATGCCAGTAAAATGAGGAGTTTTCAGAGCGAGATAGGAACAGGCACTCTTTAGTGGCCACATTCTGGTCCCCTCTAGAGCAGCTTTTAAGGACCACTTGAGCACTTTCAGCCTCAAATACACCTGCCCAGCTTGCGTTGTCCAGACATCAGGCTTGGAATGCTGAAGGGGTCATGTGCTGTCGGGACTCTCCTCATGGCTCCAGGATTTTGGCAGGAGTATATCTTACCAATTTACCTTATGATCTCTTTTGCCCCAGTCAGTGTTCATTCTGTCCAAGACCTTAGACCCATGAAAACATTTATTAAGGAAAGATTCAAGCAGCAAACTTAGAGCCATGCAGTTTGTTAAGGGGTTTAAATTATTGAGTCTTTTTACCCCCAACTAAATACAGTGAAAACCCCCCTGCTATGGCACCATTGCCCTGGAGGATGATATTCTTGGGGGGGCCTTCTGGTGGCCCTACTTTGTTTGAGGATGTAGAGCCATGTAGTAGGGATGGAGCCTCTGGAAAGATTTTACTCCCAGCTTTGAACAATACAGGGGAGAGAACTGAGCTCCTTCTCCAAGCATCTCTTGGTTTCCTGCCCTGATTAGCATTATAGATGTCAACTGAATTTTCATACATGCTAAAAGAACAGGAATCTGGCCACTGCTGTGAGGGGATGGCTCCATTTAATTAACTCAGTTGACAGTGTGGGAAAAGAGAAAACTGGAAAAGCCAATATAAGCCCTCCTTTGAACAGCTGGCAGGTTCTTAAGGGAACATAAAACCTCTCCCTTTAGCAGACCATAAGATAGAGGCACTGTCGGCAAAGATTGCCTCATTTGTGTTTTTAATAATTTTCAAAAGGATTACTGAAATAATATGTGTAGCATAAAACTGGAAAATGGGGGAGAAAAGCAAAATGAAAATCCCTTGTAATCTTTTTTAAACATTTAAAATTTGGCATCTGTATTTTTTGCTGTTGTTATATGTCTTGAACAGCTTTCCAGGTTATTAAATAACATTTTTTTAAAAAGATTTTATTCATTTATTTGAGAGAGAGAAAAGAGCATAAGCAGGGGAAGTGGTAGAGGGAAAGTGAGAAGCAGGCTCTCTGCTGAGCCAGGAGCCTGATGCAGGGCTCGATCCCAGGACCCTGAGATCATGGCCAGAGCCGAAGGCAGATACTTAACTGACTGAGCTACCCAGGCACCCCAAAATAACATTATTTTTAATAGCTTTTTCAATAGCCCATTATATCATTGAACTATACCAGCCAGTGCCCCGAGAGGTTGGAGAGTTACATTTTTTATTTTTATTTTTTTTAAACTATGATGAAATAGTATAATAAGCCATTCTGGTTTCCCAGGATAAACCCCTGGAAGGGAAACTCTTCTGCCTGGGTGATACAGGACTTCATGGCTTTTGCCATCTATTGGCAAATTCTCCTCCACCAGCTTTAAGTATCCATATTCCTTATCATTACTGTATAATTTCATGTGCTTACCTTTGACAGTTAAAAAAGCAAAAACTGGGGCACCTGGGTGGCTCAGTCATTAAGCGTTTTGGCTCAGGTCATGATCCCAGGGTCCTGGAATCAAGCCCCCACATCGGGCTCCTTGCTCAGCGGGAGAGCCTGCTTCTCACTCTCCCACTCCCCTAGCTTGTGTTCCCTCTCTCACTGTCTCTCTCTCTCTTTCCAATAAATAAATAAAATCTTAAAAAAAAAAAAAAACTCTTAAAAAAAAGAAAAAGAAAGAAAAAGCAAAAAACTTTGAGTGAAGATGAATGGTTTTTTATATGTATGTATGTGTGTATGTATGTATGTGTGTATGTGATCTGCTTTTGGACAGTTGTTACCTCTAGGAGTTAAAACTCACTTGAGAGGCAAGGAAGCACAATATTTTGACCTTGCTATATTTCACTAATCCCAAAATGCACATTTTCCCACATTTTAACATCCTCGAAATTGGGATGCAGCTTACAATTGAGTAATTAGCAGCATTTTCTTCTTCATGGTACATTAAAATATTAGGTCAGCTGCAGAAAAAGCAAGGAGGATGAATGTGTTAATACGTAGCTACAGGTGCAGATTTAATACAGTGACATAATTAACCCTTGAGACACTGAGCAGAACTCTGGCCGTGGTGCACACCCTTACCCTAACAATGTTCCACTTTATCCACTAGGAGACACAGTGGGATTTCTGTTAGACTTGAATGAAAAGCAAATGATCTTCTTTTTAAACGGCAACCAGCTGCCTCCTGAGAAGCAAGTTTTTTCATCTACTGTGTAAGTAGCTTTCCTCAGTCAAAAATTTGGTAGATTCATGGAATTCACTTTTCTCCAGAAGAAGACTTTTTCTATTTATGTGGTCAGTTGTGATGAGAAATCATTTTATTTCGAGTCATTGGGGGCCCATTTGATCATACCTGCATCTGTCTTGAAGTTTGATATAGGAAGATGAGGGCAGGATATTGTCAGGGTTACAGTGCTGTCTAGGTTAGTAAACAGAATCTGTTACCCTTCTTTTCTGCTAGGGTACAACATCTCAAAGCCACTTTGTGTATGAGCTTTATTCTGTTTTCATGAATTCTCTTGACCTCTGTCCTTATTTTTATTTGTAGGTCTGGATTTTTTGCTGCAGCTAGTTTCATGTCATATCAACAATGTGAGTTCAATTTTGGAGCAAAACCATTCAAATATCCACCATCTATGAAATTTAGCACTTTTAATGACTACGCCTTTCTCACAGCTGAAGAGAAAATCATTTTGCCAAGGTAAGGAATCTGCTTAGGCTGTCTGCAGACTTTCATGTGCCTCTCATGGGAAGCTGAAACAGCAGTTCCTTGAGAGACTTTTTTCAGCTTTTTATAAATAATTTTGAAAACTTGAGTAAAATGGATGACCTCCTAGGAAATAAAAATTACACAAAGAAATCTCGGAAGAAATATAAACAAACCAGTTATTATTATAAAATTAATTGAAACAAAAAATAAGGGGTAAGTCCCAAAAATACCAGATCCGGCTGGTTTCACAGGAGATTTCCACCAAATTTTTAAGTAACAGATAAATTACTATTTAAAATGTTACAGAACCCTCAGGGCACCTGCGTGGCGCAGTTGGTTAAGCGGCTGCCTTTGCCTCAAGTCATGATCCCAGGGTCCCGGGATTGAGCCCCATGCCGGGCTCCCTGCTCAGTGGGGAGTAATGCTTCTCCCTCTCACTCTCCCTCTGTGGTAGGTCTCTCTCTAGTAAATGAATTTTTTAGAAAATGTTACACAATCAGTTGCTCCTCACAATCCCAGGCGAGCAGTTCCTCCTGCCCCCCTGCTTTAATAAATTCACCTTTTTGCACCAGAAAAAAGAAAAAAAGTTACAGAACCCAGAAAGAAAGAGCACTTCCAAATAGTTTTTATGAGCTAAATAACATCGGTATAAAAACCAGACAATGTAACACATGCACATACATGAAAAAGCCCCTCCAACTAACTTTACCTGAATGTCAGTGAAAAATCCTAAATATCAGGAAATCAAGTACATCTTTTAATGCGCTTTTAACTTTGGGATTTAATGAAACATATTTCTTTTTGGGTTTAGCCACATGACAAAGATGCCGATGCTGTTTTATAGTCCTTAGGACAGTGAATTTTACCTGTCGTGGGTAAAATTTCATAGCCCTTCCTTGCCAGAAACTGTGATTGGCATTAATTATCTCCTTGGATGAATACCTGCTTTTCTCCCTTATGAGATGACATGATCTGTTCCTTAAGCTGGGAAAGACTCCAGCAGCTTGCTGGCAGTGACCTCAGTTTGAAGTTTGTTTCACGATATGAGCCAAAGGTTATCATTTTTGATTTTAACAGAGCTGCTTTCTGGGCCTGTGTGAGGAAGAAAGTTCCTGCTACTAATGCCACACATGTTATATCAGTGACAGAGATTGCTTCAGCATTCACAGAGATCACAAAGGCCATGGTGTAGCCAGGGTTGGGCCGTCATGCCCCTGAAGGTATCTGTAACATACTGTTATAATCCTCACTCCTGTTTTGTCTGAAAAAGCAGGTCTGTAAACAGCCCTTCTGGGCTGTGCTTCACCTTGGACTCAGTGTCTCAAGGCTGAAAAGCGGCTCAGCAGTTTCCAGATGAACCAGAAAGTGTCACATGGTGACCCAGCAGCATTGCCTGTGACAGTGGAACCTCTATAATATTGAAGGAACAGAAGGGCCACTTACATACCACCTCAGGGACCGGAGGGTCATTCCTGGAACTCCCCTTCAACTTGTCTTGGTCCTGACAGAGATTCTGAACTTTAAACTCTTCTTGGTGATGGTCTGAATACCTCACTTGTCTGTCATACCTTGTTCTTTTTTTTGCTTAACCTGTCAGCTTGGATGTAGCCCAGCAATCGGCCTGCCTTGTGACGTACACCCTGAGAGGGGAGGGCAGGCCCCAGCAGTTCCGCTGGAGGCTGGCCTCGGTTCACACTGCTCCAGCATTTAGGGAACCGCCCCTGTAGAATTAAACTTTGCAAAAGTCAGATGGCAATAGGCGTCACCCGTTAAAAAGTCTCCTAATTTTATGGGCAGCTTCTCCGTAGTCTCGTAGTTCTCTGTCAGCTTGGCCCCAGGTGCAGCCCGCCCCGAGCGAGAGGGAGCCGCAGTCGAGGCGAGCTTCCATTGCCCTGCGCTGACAGTGACACCAACATGGGAGTCAGGGGAGGCTGAATGAGGGGTCTCCTCCAGGCCGCAGAAGCCGCCTGCTGCTACCTTGCACCCCTTTAACATTCCAGTTGTCCCACATTATGTGTTGTGACATTAGGTGTGGATATGCCTGAGACCGTTTTCTGTGCCATTAATATCCTCAGCCTGTGCTCCAGAAGCTTCTCTTCAGCTTGTTATTCGTTTACTCATTGGAATATATTCCTTTCTGGTTTCCTGGCAAATCAAGGCCCTGTGACTATCTGGAATCTTGTAAATTGTTCTATATTGTATGTACTCTCTTTCTCTCATGCTTTTCCTTCATTTATTCTTTTTTCCCCTTCTTAACCTTTTTGTTATGTGAAACTTCAAATACCCACAAAGGAAAACAAGAAGAGCACAGTGAAGCACCATATCCCCACTTTTCAGCAACAATAGTCATCCACTCACGCCAGGATGTAGGAGACCTGCAAGCTTCCTTCATCTGTTATTAACTCCATTGTCATTCCAGGTTCCCTGGCCGAAATCCCAGAGTGTCTTTGACACCTTACTTTCTGCTATTCCTAGGTCCTGTCCCTCAGCACACCCTGGGAGCTGTGCCTTCAGAATACATCCCAAATCCAACTGCTGCTTATCACCTTCACTGCTGCCACCATAGTCCAAACTGCCGTCATTTCCCACCTGGATTATTTTTGCCCTGCCCTTTAGCTGGTTTCCTGTTCCTGCCTGGGCCCCCTTCAATCTATTCAACACAGCCTCCAGAAGGATTTTGTTACAGCTTAGATCAGATCATGCTCCTCCCTGCTCAGAAGACTCTAGTGACTTCTCATTTCACTTAAGATGAAAGCTTAAATCCTTACAGTGACCTAGGAGGCTGTACGCAATTTGTCCTGTCCTCTCCCTTATTACTTCTCTGATTTTATCTCCTATCCTCTCCCATTTGTTCATGCTCTTTATTCAGCCACCCTGGCCTCCTTGCTGTTCCTGAAACATACCAGATCTATTATGGCCTCAGGGCCTTTGGCACTTGCTCTTCTTGCTTCTAGAATGGGCCAGTGTGTGTTGTCCAACACCAGCAAGCAATTAACTCGATTCCAACACCGTCTACCTGGAGATAGTGTCACATCCCACTGGTTAAGTGCTCAGTCCTACAAGGCTGCCCTCTGCCCTCACTTCGAATGCCAGTTGTCAGTTCAGATTTTACAGTGCTTCTGACTATGTCTAAATTGGAGGTTCCCATGATTCCCTCATTAGGTTTGATTAATTTGCTAGAGTGGCTCACAGAACTTAGGAAAATAGTTTACTTACTAGTTTACAATAAAAGAATATAATAAAGAACAGATGGAAGCTATGCAGAGGCAAGGCATGTGGGAAGGGGCAAGGAGCCTCCATGTTCTTTGAATGGACCATTCTCCCGAAAGCTCCACATGTTCACCAATCCTGAAGATTTTCAAACCCTCCCCTTTTGTTTTTTTATGGGTGGCTTCATTATGAAGATGAGATTGTTGAGAACATTGGTCATTAGTGATTGAACTCAATCTCCAGCCCCTCTGCCCTCCTGGGAGGTGAGGGGAGGAGTGAAGTTAGGAGTGAACCAACCCACTAATTACAAGGTTGGTTCCCTTGACAACCAGCCCAAAACCTAGGTTAACTAGGGGCTTTTTAAAGGTGGCTGATTAACATAACAAAAGAACTGTGTTGCTCTTGTCTCTGGAAATTTCCAGGGTTTTAGGACCTCTGGGCCAGGAACCCAGATGAAGACCAAATATATATTTATTATAAGTCACAATATCACAAATGGTGTCTCTCCAGATATACACAGGTCTCATTCCCTCACACCCTTCCTGTCTTAAATGTCACCTTCCGTGGCTGCCATATTTAAAATGGTATCTCCCTGCTCCTCCTGTACAAACTACCTTATCCTTCTCCCTGCTTTTTGTTCATACTGCTCATCAGCACTTAAAATTCTATATGTTATACTCTTTCGCCTAGTTTCTTTCTAGTCTCCCTTCACTGGAGTGTAAGCTCTCTGAAGGTAGGGATATGTTCTTAGTCTTCTCTTCACTACTGCATCTCCAGGCTTTGGCCCAAGGTGAACAGAGTGAATGTTTCATGTTTCTCTTGCCCAGGCATCAGGGTTGTACTTTCAGCAAAGCAGTTCTGTCTGCTTTTCCACATCAAACGGAGTCAAAGTATGATGCAAGGATTCTAACCGTCTAGTCAGAAGAGTCTGCGCTAGACTAGCAATAAACACCTTGAAATTGTTTTATTTTTAAAGATTTTATTTGTCAGAGAGAGAGCATGAGAGCACAAGCAGGGGGATGGCAGGCAGAAGGACAAGCAGATTCCCTGCTGATGTGGGATCCCAGGAGCCTGAGATCACTACATGAGCCAAAGGCAGATGCTTACCCGCTTAACCAACAGAGCCACCCAGGCATCCCAACACCTTGAAATTGTATAAGAACTTGTGTATGTGCATTTTCTTGGAAAAGTCTCCACTGCTTTTCATCAAACTCTCAGAGCTGTAGGACTTAAAAGTGAAAATTTGCTGGTAAAATAAAACTGTACTAGCCTGAGAATCAAAAGATTTGAATTTGAGTCCTGAATCTTTTTCCCATGTGTGTGACCTTATGCAAATCATTTCCCTGAACTATGCCTTTGTCTGTAAAATGGGAATGACCCTGCCTCTGTCATTCTGTAGTATAGAAAATCACTGTAAGGTTGAAATGAGATGCGTGTATGAGAAACTTACTGGACAAAGTTAAGGAATACATAGTATACTTCACATGAACAGAGTATTTTCAAAGCATTTAATATGCATCACTGCTAATAGGTCCATGTATTTGTTGACCAGATAAGTTTCAAACTACATTTTCTACTCAGGCACAGGCGTCTTGCTCTGTTGAAGCAAGTCAGTATCCGGGAAAACTGCTGCTCCCTGTGTTGTGATGAAGTAGCAGACACACAACTGAAGCCATGTGGACACAGGTGAGAGGGTTTGGTCATTTCTTTTGTGTATTACATTAGGCAAAATTTCATCCTATTCTAGAAGTGCTTTTATAGTTGTTGGAGAAGAAGGAATTTCACGCTGTCCAGGGTTCCTCAAATTGGAGTCAGAATTAAATTTATATGATACAGATTAACAGGAGAAAATAAAATTTAGTTTTGTACGTATGGGGAATCCACACAGACACAAAACTCCAGAGACAAGCAAAATGAGGTATATATGTCTTCATAAACTAAGGAAAGGGTAGGGGTCTGGGAGTAAAAAGGGGAGGAAAGCCATTAGCAGGAAGGTGAGAGAGGGGATGTTTGGAAAACAAAGGTTGCCCAGTTATGCAGGTAAGTTTCTTAGTGTGCTAATAACTCTTCCTGGTAACAGGTCCTCTATTTAAATTCTTTTTAGGCAGTTGCAGGGAGGTCAGAGTCTCTCTCAGACCTTGATTGTTTTCAGCTCAAAGTAATCCGCATGTCTCTGTGGCCCATCCTGGGGCTGCCTGCCCTTGGACCTTGCACAGTGTTTCTAGTTCCTTAGCTGTTCATTAAAGTTGATTATATACAAATTGGGCTGAATCAGAAATTAGTTTGCCAGGTAGTGAATGGCTGTCTTCTAGAAAGTACCTGAAGCTGCTTGATGAAAGGCCTCTGTTTTTATTTTGTTTACTCAGTACTGTTTTTTTTTTTTTTTAAGATTTTATTTATTTATTTGACAGACAGAGATCACAAGTAGGCAAAGAGGCAGGCAGAGAGAGAGGAAGGGAAGCAGGCTCCCTGCTGAGCAGAGAGCCCGATGTGGGGCTCGATCCCAGGACCCTGGGATCATGACCCGGGCCGAAGGCAGAGGCTTAACCCACTGAGCCACCCAGGCACCCCTCAGTACTGTTTTTTAATACAGTTTTCACCTCACAAAATGTAAATGCTTTAATACTATTTATGAGCCTCTTGGGAAATCCCTTTTAGTTTTATTTTTATAGCCTCCTTATGTGCAATTTACCCTCCTAACCATTAAGAAGGCAGTGCCTCCCTCCCATCTAACCAAGTTTCAGCTATATGAGAGGAACCAGAGGGCAACCTGGATCCTACAGAAGAGTGTCCAAACACCAGCAAGAGCAGCAAGTACAGTGGCCCCCAAGAAGGCCTCCTGGCTGAGGTTGGAAATGGGAAGAGGAGCCGGGCGGTGTGCTGGCCCTAACTTGGCCCATGTGGACTGACTGGATGAGCCGTACCCAGGCTGATGTTCCGGACCAACTCCCTGTAACTCCTCATATCCCTTATTCTGCCCTGTTCTCCCCCGCAACCTTTTACATTTGATAGAGCTTTAGCCACTGGGTCTCCTGGGGTTCCAGAGCCTGCAGGGATGGACCCCAGTTTGTCACCTTAAGACGTGGCTCAGCCTGGGCCTTTCACTCTGCCCTGCTGATTTTTGCAATGCACGGTTAGCTAATTGGCTGTTAAGGGAAGTGCAGGCAGTGTATCTCATGTCACCCTTCGCTGTACCAGTTTCTCTTCTGAAAGAAAGGCACAGTGACTCCAGCTGTGGCTGGAGTCGCTTGGCAGCAACTCTGTAGCCCAGAATTCTCAGTTAAGCACCTTTGAAGGTTTCAGTCATTAGAGCCTCACAGGCAGATGCAAAGTTTAAAGAATGGATATCTCAGCGCCCTTTTTGATCTTTGTTTCTGGGAGGTTGTAAAGGTCCCAAAGAGCAGTATCTGGTCTTACTCATCTTTGAGCTTTCTGGCCCTTCTCAGTGGTTTTGCACACAATAAGTGTTCAGGAATGGGGGCCGAAATCTAAAAACTTAGAACCAGGTATCTTAAGTATGAGCAGTCTCCATAACAGATAATTGGAAGAGGAAATTTAAAGAGTTATAAGAGAATTTAGCTCAACTTTCAGCAGCAACAACAATTTTAAAGTGGGGGAGGAGGCAAAAGGAAATCTGGATAAATTGAATGACTTGAGCTGACCCTGGGAAGAGATGGACAATCTAAGTATTCCTGTTACCATAGAAAAAATTGAGATGATTATCAAAGCTACATTTGCACTTGTACTGTTCCCTCTCCCCCGCACCCCCATCCCCAGCAAAAACACTAAGACCAGATGGTTTCGGATGAATTCTTTCAGACTTTCAGGGAATAGATAGATTCTATATAAACTTCTCCAGACCAGGGCCACGTGGCTGGCTCAGTTGGTGGAGCATACAACTTTTGATCTTGGGGTTGTTGTGTAGAGATTACTTAAATGAGTAAATAAAAACTTTAGGGGGAAAAAAAGGCTAAGAATACATATCAAGAGATATGTGGTGCCTACAAGAAGAAAACTTGTAAGCTACTAAAGAATGCAATACGAGGCTTGAATAAATGGGTCTGTTCTTAGAAGACCTCTCAGTGCTGTAAAGGTGACAATTTTCCCTAAACCAACTTAATTTGGCTCAACCTTTTTTTTCCCCTAGAAATAGAAATGCTAATTTAAAAGTTTATGTGATATAAGGCAAGAAAATTCTGAAAGAGAAGAGTTATGGTGGGGACCCACCCTATCTACCACATCTTAAGATATATTAAAATGCTTATAGTTTACTCCCAGTATATGAAAAGAATGACAGAACAGTGGAACAGAATAGAAACCCAGAAATGGAACTAACTACATACAAATGAAAATTTAACATATAAAGGCCTGGACACAATGTCAGTTCTGCAGTGCAAAATGGACTGTTTAATATTGGGATAAATGGCTAGCTGTCTGGGAAAATAAGTTGTGTCTCTACCCATATATACACATCTGTAAGTTTTTGCTGTGTATGTACAAACTTTTTGGAAGAATGTACTTGCAATTTTTTACTTATTCCTCAGAAGAGGAAATGGGGAATCAGAAATGGGAGGGAGACTCATTGTTGGTTTGTATATTTAGTTCCTTTTTTAACCACATGTAATGATTACCCTTTCACTGAACGAACTTGTTAATATTTCAGATTGAGTAGGCACATTGTCAGTTTGCCTTTTGGAAGCACTAACCTAACCAGCGCTTGTGTCTTTCTCCTCAGTGACCTGTGTATGGATTGTGCCTTGCAACTGGAGACCTGCCCGTTGTGTCGTAAGGAAATAGTGTCTAGAGTCAGACAGATTTCTCATATTTCATGACACACGTGAAGAGGCATCATGGACTTATTTCTACTCAATTCCAGCCAATGTTGAAGAGAAAAACAAAAAAAAAGTCTCTAATCAGTTGTGCGCACATTGAAACTTATAGCCATGGCCAGATTTTATGCTAAAAATGGTAGTTTGTCAAAGACAAAATTCTCTTAGAATCTAACCCAACTTGCCAACCCTGAGAAATTCCTGTTAAGGCCAAGGAAAGCTGAGCGCTAACAGCGAGGCCTGTGGTCCTTCCATCAAAAACCATAGGAGACCGTGCCCTCCCGAGTGCTGAAACCACACCGGAATTCTCCATGTTGGGTGCATTTGATTGTTTAACAGAATGTTTTGTCTCATTCTAAAGTTTTTATTTGGGGCAGAAGTCATTATGGAGAAGTAAATGACAGCATTTCTGGGTTAAGCATAACTCCCAAGTTGGTCAGAGAGACAGTGGTATGTCAAGCGTGGATATTGCACTGCAAGACTTGAATCTATAAACTAGAACCACACAGGTCAATTCTACAAGCAACATGGAGGGCCTGAAAGAAGGTGCACAGACTGTGGAAAAAAAACCCCAATTTTTGATATTTCTGTGATTCCAAAGAACATTGTAGTTTTTTTTTAACTGCAGAAAACTGGTGGTATTTTCACATTCATGGTGTTTCTATCCAGTTTCAGTACCCGCTTTTTCTGAGGAAAAAAATGTTTTAACAATACAGGAGGAATTCTTAAATTAATTGCAATGTTAGACTGGAGCAAATTTGGTATTTAGGGTATTTGTAAGGTACCATCAAATCAGGTTTTTTGTTTTTTGTTAAAAATTTTTTTTAATCAGTATTGTTTTTGGAAGTAATATACTTTGAAACTCTTGAACTAACAGTCTCAAAAACTCTTAGAGGACAGTCTGAGAGCGTGTATTTCTATTGTTTTAAATAAATACATGTTTTTGAATAGTAAATTCAATCATGGATTGCTGATTATGTCTTCATCAAAAGTGTTAATCCCTCTCAGGGTCTCTGGTGAAGACCTTCAGGAGTTTGGTTTTTTCTCCCAGAAAATTGGAAGGTAGAATTGTAAATTCATAGAACTTATTTTATAATGGTGTACCTCAGCAGCTGCCTTTCAATTTATGCCAAGTCCTTACTGAGTTTATACTTGAATAGTAAATATGTCTTCTGAGTTTTACAGTGTCTTAAACTCAATGCACATTTTTTTTTCTTCCTTTCCCACCCTTTCTTGTTTGTAATTCATTAAACTGTCCTGTTATAGAGCTGATTTCCTTCCTGGCCGTACTTGTTGGGGTGCTGGATTTTTTTCCATGTCTTTAGTCTTCCGTAAATTCGAATATATATATAAATATATATATATATATATATATATATATATATATATATATATATATTCCCTTCTTTAGCTTGTGGTGAATACAGTAATTTGCATTGAAGAAATAAAACATTTGTTGCCTTTTTTGACTAAGATTTCACAACTTTCATTGATGCCTACCGCTAAGGTTCCAAGACCTCATCCTCTCAGTTTTAAGGGCTCCTTTCCAGGGTAGGAGAGAGTCAAGTAAAAAGAATTAAGAAGCAAAGGTAATCATTTACTCATCCTGCAGATCTTTACTGAGCACCTAATATGTTCTGGGCACTGTGCCTATGTGGTATACAAAACAGATCTGTTCATGGAGCTTATGTCTGATAGTGGGGAGAAAACAATATATTTGTTTAATAGTGCCTTAAAAGAAAAGATCAGGGTACTGTGAGAGAGAATGGGGGGGGCACTTAATTTAGATGGGTAGAAAGGGGCAGAAGGAACCTCACTGAGCAAGTTAACTATCAGTAAAAACTCCAAGGAAAAAGTAGGACATGGCCAGGTAGAGACACTGAGGACAAGCTTCAAGGACTATATAGCTGTGGGAACACAACATTCTAGGTGAAGGCCTAACAAGAAGGAAAGCTCAGTGAGCTTCAGGATCTGATGGGAGGCCCCCATAGCTAGTAAGGTAGGAACTGAGATGGTACAACAGTGTGCTCCCCTGTTGGAGAAGTCAGGGGACCACTCGAAGCCATGCTAAAGATTTTGTATTTTATCCTAAGTGCAGTAGAAAACAAAAAGAGTTTAAGTATGGAAGTGCTTTGATAAATACCTTTAAAAGATAGCTCTGGCATCTATATGGAGAATGGAAAAGGCGGGGGGCGGGGAGCGGTGGGGTATGCAGGACAGAGGACAAGCAAATCATGGAAATTTGAAGTCCAGCAGGGAGACTTTGAAGTCAAGTGAAGTGAAGGTGGTCTATAAGTTCAGTGGAGAAAAGTAGAATTAATAGGTAATCTGTCACAAATCAAAGGAATACGGGGAGCCTATTAGCTTTCTAGAAGTCTACCCTTGAATTTTGTTCATCAGTTGTAATCTTGGAACTGCTTCAAAGGGAAAAACCACATAAAAGAAAAAAACTAGGGAATAACAATGTGAAAGAGAATAAACAGATCAATATTCTGCATTGCATGTACGCATTTTAAGCAAAATTGAAAGCTAGGTTTTTACTGATGATACATTGTACCACATAGAAAAACAAAAAATTAAGTTAACGGCATTTCTCCAATGATTTATTGGGGAAATGCTCCCAGAGTTCTAGTCAAAAAAAAAAAAAGTTTTTAATGACTTACTATCTTTTTGGAATGATATTAGTAAAGCAAGGTAAAGTTATGGTGACATTTGCATGCCAGGAAACAAGATTTCAATCACAGAAATAAAAATTTCATCTGCAGAAAATGACTTTTGCATGAATTTCCAACATCCTGAGTATGTACCTAGGATACAAACTGTTCAACGAAGTTCAGCTCTTTCCAAGATTGTCCATTTTTATTCACTTAAAACTATTGTTTTTAAGATTTTATTTGAGTCAGAGCACGAGCTGGGTGGGGAGGTAGGAGCAGAGAGAGAGGGACAAGCAGACTCAGCACTGAGTGTGGAGCCCAACAGGGGGCTCCATCTCACAATTCTGAGATGGCGACCTGAGCCAAAGTCAAGAGTTGGACGCCTAACCAACTGTGCCACCCAGGAGCCCCCATTAAATAAATTTTAATATAGGAACACCTGGGTGGCTTTGCAGGTTGAGTGTCTGCCTCTTGGTTTTGGCTCAGGTCATGCTCTCATTGGTTGTGGGATCAAGCCCCCAACCTGGCCCCTCACTCAGCAGGGATTCTCCTCCTTTGCCCCTCCCCCCTTCAAATCTTTAAAAAAAATTTTTTTAATGCTTACCCACAATCAAAGGATTTAAAAATGATTATTAATGAAAAACATATATTCAAGTAAGTGTTAAATTTTTTTCTTTAAAGGCCACCATCCTATTTTTAGCAGAAAAACATCATGTTCTGATTTCTAGGAGTATTGTATGAGAACTCAGGGATTGGAGCAATATATAAGCATGACTGGTTAAACATGTCCTTGGGAGTAAGCCTGGACCCAGTCCCAGCTCCATGATGCCACTTACCTTACCATCCATATGCAAGTACTTCTGCATTTCTCAATCTTTTTTTTCTCGTAGAGTTTCAAGTATTTCAAAAAAAGACAATATTTATAAGTGTTTAGCACAGTAACTGGCACATGCCTGAGTAAATGGGTCCTATTATTACCTTTACGCCCATTTGTTCTTAAAGGCGGACATGGTGGGGGAGCCCCGGTGGCTCAGTTGGTTAAGCATCTGACTTCAGCTTAGATCATGATCTTAGGGTCCTGCGATCCAGCCCCATGCTGGGCTCCCCACTCAGCGGGGAGTTTCCTTTTCCCTCTCCATCTCCCCCTACTTGTGCTCTCTCTCAAAAATACAAAATCTTTAAAAAAAAAAAAAAATTTAAAAAAAAGCCAGACATGGTGAAGTGGATTACAAATAGCCACAAGTTGTTTGACATCCCTCCCATCTATAAATGATGTTTATGTCCCCTCCCCTAAAACCTGGATAGGCTCTGTGTTTGTTTGACCAATAGAATTCAGTGGAAGTGAGACTGTGCCGGTTTCCAGTACCTAAATGGCAACTTCTTGAAATATTTGCTTTTAGGCCCAGCCACCATGGTATGGGAAAACTCAAGCATCCCTGGGAAGATGTACAGGGAAAGAGAATGAGGAACCCCCTCCCTACCAGCCACCAGTCCTCTAATAAACATTCACAGCTGAGCTCCCAGCCAAGAGCCAACAATAATTTGCCAGTCATGTGAGTGAGCGTGTTGGAAGAAGCTCCTCCATCTAGCCCCATTCCAGCTGCCCCAACTGATGGCAAGTGGAACAGAGACTAGCTGTCACTACCAAGTCCTGCCTGAACTGCAGATTAGTAAGCACATTAATTGCTGTTTTAAGACACTAAATTTTGGGGTGTCTTGTAACAGCAACAGAAAACCAGAACAGATGAAATCATCAAGTTTCCTACTCCACTCTGATCCCATACATGATTTAGAAAAAGGGTGGGCAAGTTCATTTAGTCCAGAAGAAATAAGTGGTTTATAGAGAAAAACAGGTTATGAGGAAATGCTGAGTTTGCTCTGAGCTGCAAAACCGCTTAACTTAAATATAACTCAGTCTAGTTAATCAGCAAACCTTTATAGATACCTGTCCTCTACCTGGAGCTAAGTAGAGTATCTCTGAGAACTGATCTCATTCACCCTGGATGCAACTGTGTCTTGGTAACCAGGTTTAGTTCCAGATCCCAATGTTATTATTTATTTATTTATTTGAGAGAGACATTAAGGATGTGTGAGCAGGGGAGGGGCAGAGGGGGAGGAAGAGGGACAAGCAGATTCCCCGCTGAGGGAGGAGCCCCATGGCGGGTTCAGGTGGGGGACGCAGAGGTGAGGGGAGGAGCTCCATCCCTTGACCACGACTAGGAGATCACCACCTGAGTCAAAAACAGAGGATCGCCCAACCAACCCAGTGAGCCTCCCGTAGGCACCCCTCACTTTTATCTATTTTATATACATTCAGAATATCAACCCATTCAGGCTGGCCATCTGACCCTCAGATCAAACCTAAACCTAAGGCAACCAGACACATAAGGCCTAGTAGTCCAATCAAGAGAAATCAGCTCTCGGGAATCCTTTTGCAAATTTTGGCAGTTTGGGAGAGGAGTTTTCCTGGAAGTTATCCGATTTCTGATTACGTTGGTTCAGTGATTGTCAACTTTTATCTCTCCTAATTAGCCAAGGAACTAATGCCGAATAATATTTATGACGTGTGACTATTATCTTTATGATGTAAATTACGTCTACTTCTTGTGGTGGCTTTCCTTCCACTAAAGGGAGTAACTGGGGCACCTGGATGGCTTAGTCGTTAAGTGGCTGCCTTTGGCTCTGCTCATGATCCCAAGGTTATGGGATGGAGCCCCGCATCACGGTCTCAGTGGAGAGCCTGCTTCTCCCTCTGCCTGCTGCTCCCCCAGCTTGTGCTCTGTCAAATGAAGACAATCTTTCAAAAAATTAAAAAGATTTTATTTATTTTCGAGAGCACGGAGATTTGGGCAAGAGGGAGATGGGAGAGAATCTCAAAGCTGACTACGCTGTGAGTGCGGAGTCCCACGCAGCGCTGGATTTCAGGATCCTGAGATCATGATCTGAGCGGAAGAGTCCCACTCTCAAGGGCTGAGCCACCCAAGCGGCCCCTATTTAATCTTAAATCCTATAATTTATTCCCGAATTGCAAGTGAAGAAATTGAGGCTCTTCGCTTCCATTCCTTCTTCCGTAAGATAGGGGCAACGTGAGATTTAACCGCCACAACTCCAGAGAACACTCCAAAACCCCAAACATCCCACTGAGTCCCATAGGGTTCCCTAACGGGCCTCTACCGCTACCCCTCACTTCCTTTCCCCATCTTTGCCCCGCCCACGGCGTCAAATAGCGCGCGCCTGGGATTGGCTCCCGGGAAGCGCGAGGCGGTGGAAGGGGTTTTGGTGGCCATGGTGACGAGAGGCGGGGCGCGGGGCGGTAGTTAACTGACGCCGGGACACCGCTGCGGCCGCGACGCACTCTGAGAGACCTGGCTGGTTGTGAGGGCCCCGCAGGCGCGTGGCCGCTCCAGGGGAGCCTGAGGCCCGGGCCTCGCACGTAGGGCCTACCCCGGCTGCGCCGTGAGCGGGCGAGGCCTCCCAGATGCGGGTTGCGGCTCTACGGAGCAGAGCCGAGGCTGGGCCCGGGCCGCGGACGGGATAGGAGGCCGGCGGGCCCGCTCGCTCTGCGGGTGGATGCGGCGGCGGCGGCGGCGATGGACGCCCTAGAGGAAGAGAGCTTCG